GTCTAGCGTGCATCCTCGCAGGTCACATATTTGGTTGTCCTTTGAGCAGAGCACACAGTCCACTTGGAAAATACATACCCATGAAGGGAATTAAATATATGTACATGTCGAGCTTAAATGTGAAAATGTAAGGGAATATTAATAAGGAATCAAACTTAATTCCCTATTTTACTAAAATATCTTAAATTTTGTTGTTTAGAACATTAAAATGGTAAAATTAAATTTATAAATGTATACTCAATATTAATTTAAATTGAATTCTGTTCTTTTTACAGTTTAAAGCTATAAAATTTTTAACAATTTGGGAATTTTAAACTTATTTAAGATCTCAAATATATTCAGTCTTTACACTCTTAGTTAAAACTTCTGAAATATGACCAAATAATTATAGGATTTATGTTCTCGTTAAACAATAAATTTAATTTATTTAATTTTACATTTAAATTAGTATTAAAGTAATTCAACAAATACAAATTAGCACTTAGTTGCTAAAAGCTACGAGTTTAAAATCTATTTGTCGCTGGCGCACTATGAATGCATAATTAACAAAGCGGAAATTCGGCAACAGTGCCCAGCAAATTGCATATAAAACGGAAGGGCTTGCATAATTAACAAGCCGGCTGGGAAAAGTGAAAATTGCCAGCAGGGCTTAAGAGTAAGTGGAAATTCCACAGCTTCCGAATTCTAAATACCAAATGGCGAAATGCGAAATGGGAAATGGCGAATGCAATAAACATTCAGCTCAAGTAATAAGCCAACACATAAAATACGCCATTAAATGGCCGATGGCCAAAACGAAGACGAGACGCTCAAATGACCAGTCTACTTAGATGTTGATGAGAGGGGGAAAGCTGAGAGGATGGAAACACTGGGGGGATGCTGTCAAAAAGTCAAAGCCATTAGGCACACACCAAAGAAGATGCGTCCAGCAGCGACAAAATTGAAACGAGAGATGGCAGAAGGGAAAGTCTCTCCCGAAAGTCCTCTGACCACTTTTGACACCGAAAAACTAACGCAAATGGACAACGAAATTTAAGCATACACTTCATTAGATGGACTTTAAAAAGGGCCACAAGTAGAGAGGCGAAGCCTGGGCGACCGCAGGACATGCACAGCACAGACGCCTCATTGGCTTTGACAGGACACAACAAACTCCATCCTTCGCAGCCTTCGCATCCCCATAGAGCAGCCTGATTGCTGCTGCGGTCGTCTGTCGCGTGTCCCTCGTCCTCGTCCCTTTTTTCGTCCTGTTGGCCCCACCTGACAATATCAGCAAACATCTCTCGCCTGACAAGCAACAAGAAGCGAACGCAAAACCGAACAAAAAAGTACGAGAAAACGGTGACCCATGTTTGTTATACCCTATAATGTCGAGGAGTATCATCATTTCATCATCACTTTTTCTAAAAAAAAAAAAATGTCAAAATATGTCCCTAAAAGTTTGCAGTGAATAAAGGAAAGTCGTCTTCCTGTATGAATTAATTTTACTTTTGATTTAAAATATATATTGCTGCATACTTTTAAACACCTTTTTTAAAAGATATTTCCATCGAATCAATATTATCGAATCAATAGTGTCAAAATATCGAAATTTTCGATAGTATTAAAAGCTCTATATATTTTGTGGGTCTAATAAAAAATATACCTATTTTCCTGCTACTTAAAGTCTGAATATTAAAGTTATTTCTAATAATATAAAAAACCTGGACAGTCTTTATACAAAAAATATAAAATACAAAAATTATAAATATTTTTAAGTTTTAAATTTCAAAGATAATTAAACTAAATTCAAGTAGTTCCAAGACAGTTAGAAATCAATTTCTTTGGTCGGCTACTTCTCTAAATCCCATTTCTGAGGGCAGCGCAAAACAAGAAAAGCCCCCTGGTGGTACATACATCTGATCCGTTTCCAAGGAAAATGAGGCCGGGGGCCGGATGCTTTAAGCCGCTGACAAAGCTCCTCTAATACCGCTGCAATTAGCAAACCTGTGCACCTGAGCAAACAGCTGCCCCCCAAAAAAGCCGAGCAAAACCCGAGGACGATGTCCACTGTCCACTCGACATGGCCCGCAGCCAGGAGATTAGAGCCAAAGTTGTTTATGGCCAAGGAAAGGTGGTCATGGTGGTGGACACAACGCCGGCAGGGATAAAGCATAATGAAAGTAATAAAGTTCCACAGTTTCAGGACTCGAACTCAAACTCAAGCTTAGCCTTTTGATCGGCGCCTGGCGATAAAAACTTGTGTATGCCAGACAGCGAAACAGGAGCCGAAGAGAGAGAGTCCTTCGACATCCTTCCATGTGTTGCATGTATGTTTTTTGCATCGCTCTGCGGTCGTGCCAACATTCCTGCACCGGAAAATATTGGCCAGTGGTTAGAGTAAAGAGTAGAGAGTATACAGCTATCGAGCTATCGAGCTATCGAGCTATAGAGTATAAAGGCCAGAGGACAACACTTTCCAACCGGGGCAGACACTTTTATCGCCATCCTCGATGTTCGGCTGCTGTTGTTTTTATTGAATATTCATAAATGGCCAAAAAAGAGCAAAAGGAGCTGCAACTAAAATGGTCGCTTGTCGGCCGGCCTCAGCTGTTTTTGGGCCCGTCTGTCTGGCAATGGAATCAATATTTTATGCCCAGCTGCTGGTCAGAAGGAAGATGCTGCCGACCGCAGGAGAGAGAGAAAAGTGCACTGAGAAAAGCGCACGTTTTTAAAAGCTACACATTTTTAAATGTAAGAATACTTCTTTAAAATTTAGCTTTTTTCGATATTAAATATGTGTTTTCCCATGAAAACATTGATATTATCAAATCAATATTGTGAAAATATCAATAATTTTTAAGCTCTAATGTTTATGGTGTTAAAATTACCTATTTTCTAAATTTACGTCAGTTTATTTTCTTTATTTCATTTTGTTAGGGTCTAAATATTGATATTTTAAGGTGGAAAATATGGATAAGAAATTTCGACGAAAATAAACTTGTTTTCGGTTTTTTAGTCGTAATTTGCACAAATCGAGGCCCACAGCTAAAAGAACGACTGTTTTGAACGACCTAAACTAATGATCCGCATCAATTTATGAGAAATTTAATTTTTGATGAATTTTCGCATTTTAGATAAGGGGTTGCATCACAATTTTTTTGCAAAAAATTACAAAAATTAAAAATTTATAGTTTTGAATGCCAATCGATTGGATTTTATTACAAGCTCAGCGAGGTATTACATTCCATATTTGGTTCATTATTTCCTTTGTTATGGCCAAAACTCTAATATCAAATCAAGAACCCTTTTTACAGTTTTTTAGTCGTTATTTTACTAAAAATGAGGTAAAACTTACATTTTTTCTTCAGTGTAACATAGATTGCCTGCAAGTGCAACAGGATGTGCTGGCCACAAATTAAAATGTGAGAGCACACACACATGTCTGATTGAGCCACGCCCCAGACGATTTGGCTTTGGCCATCTCAATTGTGGTTGCCACGCCCCATTTCGCCCTTCGCAATGTAGTTGGCAACGATTTTATTGCCTAATTTTGGGAGCTAAGCAATATCGAATTTTGGCAACGATGCAATGCAAAATGATGCCCTTAAATTTTGTGGATAAATTAATACGCAATTAGAAGGCATGAGTGACTTGCTGGCATTTCAAAATGGTTGCTCAATTGATGTGGCATAGCAACGCATATCAAATTAACTAACAAATTGACTTGTCAAACTCTTTTCTGCCCCACGGCAACGCCCCCCAAAGGAAATTACAAACCATTAGGCACACAGGACGAGATGACAGGACGAGGGAAATGGAAATGGGAAAAGGCAAAGGCAAAGCACACACAAAGGATTCTTAGTTATTAATGAAGAAATCCCAGGGAAAAGCACGCACGACCAGCTCACAATAATGAGGAAAATGCAAGGGAAATGGAGGAAAAGCGAGGAGGAGGTGGATGCGACGTGTATTGTAATTTTTATTTTTATGCCAAAGCGAAATCATTTGATTTCATCATTTTATGGACCCGACAACACAGCGCATAATCATTATCATTGTGCGGGAATGAGGAACTAAGAACCTTTTCCGTTTGCCCCATCAACAAGGCAACACGTAGCAAATTATGAATGAATGAATGAAAGAAAGCCGGGGCGGCACAGTGGAACTTGGCCCGTAATTGCCACTTTGGCGTGCCAAATGCCACATGTGGCAAGTCCTTCGAATGGAGGCGACAAATTTCAGTGCTTCGTCCTCCAAGGAGTTGCAAACTGAGTAAACTGCGCAATGAACGGTGGCAAATTACATGTGCAGCCCGAGAAGAAGAAACCCCAGGAGCCTGGATTGAAATGAGAGGCTAGCGCCGAATGAGGAGACTTGTTGGTTTCAACTTTCTTCCTTGGGCCTGGTCAGTGGTGTCATTCTTAGAGTTAAGGAAAAAAGAACTTAACGCCTTTCGGGATATCTTAGAAAGCACTAAGGTTTTATAAATAACTATAAAGGTGTCTAAAAGTATGCAAAGAAAGAATAATTTCATGAATTAATAATTCTCCAGTGCTCTAGGACTTAAATTAAATTGTAGCATACTTTTAGACATCTATATAAGTTTTTTCTATACATTTTAATTTTAATTTAAAAACTAAACTTTCTATTAGCCTGACATTTAACAAATAGAAATGTCTAAAAGTATGTAGTGAGATAGGACTCTCCAATTTAAAAATTATTTATTGTTTAGTTCTTTAGGACTCAAATAAAAATGTAGCATTCTTTCAGACACCTTTATAAATGATCTAAAAATAAGATCTCTATACATTTTAGTTTGTGAAATAACTAAAAATTCTATAACATTCTTAATAAACGTAAGACCTAAAACGTATCTCTTAATATATCATCAATTCCTTATACATTTGTTCTTAAATATTAATTTACTAAATAATTCGTAAAACATTTAACCAAGAAATGATCATTTTCCCTAGCCTTGTAACTTGTCTAATTCTAATTTAATTGATAGGAAAGCTCACCTGACTAAGCTCATCTCGGGAGCGACGCGAGCATTTGGGCAACAGGGCCTGCATATCATCCTCGAAGGCGCCGCCATGGACCGCGTCCACGACATCATCCACATCCCCATCCGGATCCAGGCTGCTGCTCCGCCGACTGTCTGTGCTCTGATTTTGGTTGAAATTCTGATGCTGATTTTGATTCTGTTTCTGATTCGAGGCAGATGTCATGGATCCTGACTGACTGCTCGTATTATTGTTGTTCAGATTCGATTGGGCGGCCAAGACATTCAGTTTGCTGCTGATGGCGCTGAGACTCGCCTGCTGCTGAGATTTCTGTGACTGTTGGCCATTGTGATTGTTGTTGATGTTATTGTTGTTGCCACCGGCATCCACAGAGGCCGCCTCCAAAGAAGAGGGCGTGGCTCCGGCAGAGGGCAGCGGTTCACTTGTCCTGCAAATGATAAAAAGGAGAAATGCTTAATTAGTGAGTCATTCAGGTAGCAAAGAAATCTGAAAAAATATTTATTATTTAATTTATATATTGTGACCATTTTATTTATTCATCACCTTTTTGTAATTTAACCTTGTACAAAGAAATATATATAAATAAATTAATAATGGCCTGAATGACAAGGCTGTCTTAAGAGTGAACATCTAATTACGTGCCACTTCGATCCTTAGACTTCGGGGTGACTTAAAGTCCTGACTTGAAGGATCCCCACCCAGTGCTCAAGGCCCATTTGTCAATGGTCTACCCTCTGTCAGCTGTCAAAAGGTTAATTTGCGACACATTCTATATTTTTTTCCGCCCAACGCCGTCGCCAAAGTGGCTAAATTCAAGACAAGGATGAAGGATGAAGGCTGAAAGACGAAGGACTCATGACGATGACGCCTCAAAGCGGGCAATTTTACGCCATTTTAACAATATTTCTACGATAGGGCACAAATGTTATTAATGAATGGCTAGAGAATAGAAAAGCAAGCGAAACGGAAAGGAAAAGAAAAGAAAAGAACAGGAAAAAAATAAGAGCCTTCGACTTCAAGGACACAGGAACCGCAGGACAGCATGGCTGTTGATGGATCAGTAAGGGACCCCATGTCATAAACAAGAAGAAAAAGACCCCTCACTTCGCCGACATATGAAAAGTTGTCAAACACTCTGACATAATCATGTCAAATTAACACGGAACAAACAGAATGTCAACCTTGCGTAGGGTTGGGTTGGCTCAACTCAACTCAACTCACTTGGCTGGCGGTTGGGTGGATAATAAAACACTCTCAAGGAATTAGGCGGCATTTTCGTTTGGAAAACTTGGGGCAGGCTCAAGGACACGCCAAGCCAAGCCAAGCCGCTAAAGAAAAACACGCTTCGAATTTATGAGGATTTGTTGAACAAACAAGGGCGAGCGATAAACAAAACAAGCGAATGACAGCCGGGTAGGTGGAGAATCGCAAGTAGGCGACCATCTATGGAAAATCGTAGGGAAATGGAAATGGAAAGGCGCCCACTCATGGCAATTAAGATTAAGTGGCAGTGGATCTGGCTTGGGTTTGCGTTTGGGTGTCCTGTGTTGGAGAAGAACCTTGAGTGTTTTGGCCATCCACCGAACTGAAGGTCAATTAAAGCCATAAAATAAACGTAAACATCCAGGTTCGTGGGGTCAACAGTGAAAAACCTTGATAGGCACTAAATTCCAATGCCGAAAACCAAAAGGCATTTTATGGCAGTCAAGAATTACAAGTGATTTAATGCGGACAATTAAAAAAAAACTTAACGTGTATAAATAAAATATAATTTATAATAATAATAAAAAATATTCATAAACAACAACAACAAAAAATGCCTCAAAGTTCTTCATAATTTATAATAGAATATACTGACATGTAAAATAAATAAACTACAAGTGAATAAAAAAAGGAACATTTTTAATACAATAAAATATTATTATAATTTTAGTTACCCATTAGTTTTTGATAATTCCCTTAACTTCCTTAACTTCCTCTTTCAACCAGCTAAATCCTCACTTAAAACGACGTGTATTTTAAGACTTCCCTTTCATCTCAATCTTTATTCACAATCAGCAGTGGCAAAGTGCCAGAGCTAACTTAATTATTGGTCTGCAGAAATGTGAAAAGTTTAAGCGGCAAAACCCGTGGTATTCCGTCAATCGGAAGTTTCGTTCGCAATGAAATCCTTTCTTTCTACTTTCAACCCAACGCAATCACAGTTGGCCCGAAAATTGTGAAAAGTTTGTCGCTCTGCCAGAGTCCCATGAATATTTACTCTTTGTGCTCGAAGAGACCAGATGAAATCAAAGTGTGGAAAATAAAACAAAAAGTAAGCATATGTACAACAGAGGTGCAGGATCTGGGATGGATGGATGCGAAGGATGCGGGTTGGATTGGATTTAAATTGGAGTTGGAGCTCTCCTTTTCCTGGTTCCAGTCAATAGCAAAAAGGAGTTCTGGTGGGGTATGCAAATTAGTTGTGACAGCTTTCAAAAAGTTCAACATAGTTGTCGATGGGGTTACCCGGAGTTGTGAGTTTCGTCCTCCCCACTTGACAGCTGAAACTGACACAACGAGTGCGAGAAGAAGATGGCGAATGCACAAGAGTTCACAACGTTCAAAGTTCATGCATACGTGCACTGAAAACTTTGCACTATTACTTTGGGATTTCAATATTCATATTTTTAAAAGACTTTTATGTAACAATAGTAATTTACAGTAGAGCATAGGAGAAAATCGTTAAAAGCATCAATATTATCAAATCGATATTATGAAAATATCGAAAATATCGATTATTTTTCAGCCCTCATTTATTATTTTGATCGAAGTCAAGTTTTTCAAAGGGAAAAGTACTAACAGAGATAAAATCTATTTATACCTATTTTATATTGATATTGATATTAAAAGTTTTTTTTTTTTAATTTTTTATTAAAGAACAAAAAAATTCCTAGAGCTTACTAAATATTTATGAATTTTACTAAAAAGTTTTGCCCATCAGTAATAGTTTTCAAATATTACACTGTTTCATAGGTTTACGAAGTTAATGAATAATAATGAATAATAAGTTAATGAAGTGACAATCTATAGTTTTCTCGCAGTGCATGTGCAGTGCAATTCTGATCGAGCCAAAACCGAAACAGAGAAGAAGTACACACATAGTAGGCGAAAGGCAAGAAGTTTAACCCCCTGTCTATGCCCCAAAGGGCTCGGCAAGCCAACCGTTTTTGATATGGTAATGTGGCAATGGCAGTGCGTGTGTGGAATGCTCCATTATTAGATTTTTACCCAGTCTCAGGCTCAAAAAGAGGAGGCGGAGGAAAAGATGGAAAGGGAACAAACATCGTCGAGAGTGCCATAAAGTAGTAATACTAATTAAGTTGTGTATTATGCATGTGCAGCAGGGACTGCGATTTGGATTGGAACTGGGACTCCCAGCCAGCCAGCGAGCTCCGTGGGATGCCTGTGCACTCGACTCGAGCAGCCAGTTGACATCGTTTAGCTGAGCACTCGGCGAACAATGGTGATCCAGTGGGGGATTGCTGGAGGAGCAAGCGGCTGACTGCCAAGTGTTTGTGGTTAGATAACCTGGAGGATGTCATCGAAGTGAGTGGCTGGTCGAGGAGGCCTGGAGACTAGGTCACTTTTTGTTGTCACACGATGATATTCAATGGGATATTCAATGGGAGAAAGGAAGTAAGGATATAGGAAATGGAATCAATGCATTGAAGAAGGAACAGGGGAGTTTGGTTTTTAAAGAAGTCTGTTGAGCAAAAGAAACAAATTTATAAAAAACTTTTACTGCAAGTAAATAAATTGAATGGAATCTAATTAAATTAATTAAATTATAATATAATTAATATACATTAATTAATAATTTAAGTCAAGCTGTTTTGGCTGCCAGAGAATTTTCCCTTTTCTTAAAGGATTTTTTAAAGAGTTAACTCATATTATAATAGTTGAACTGAACCTAAACATGTATTCTAATGCAGTTATTGGTCAATTCAATTAACCATTAATGTTGGAAAACTGTATAAAATAATATATAATTAATTACAATATCATCATGATACTAAAAAAGCTTTAACAAATTTCTTGAAAAGAAAATGAAATGTCTAGGAGTTTGATTATAGAATCGTGTAAGTCCAAAAGTTGCCATTTCCAGTCGAAGCACTTGAATGGGTTAACTCACCTTGCCTTGGGATGACCCTTGAACTGTGCCACCTCGGCGTAGCGTCGTCCCAGAGGAGCCTCCTGCGGACTGAGTAGGGAATCGCAGACGGCCGACTGCTGATCGCCGACAGGCAAACTCATGCCCTTGAGCAAACGAGTGGTGGTGGTGGATTCCGGGACACCTTCTCCTCCTCCTCCTGCAGAGGATCTTAGGATCTGCTCTTCGATTGCATTTCGATTGGCAAAGTTCTTGAGCTGCTCCCGCAGCGAATAGTCCGCCGAACTGGAGCACGAGGTGGACTCCGAGACGGAGGATGAGGAGCTGGATGAATGGCACCTGGGCACAGGCGATGGTGAAAGATGATTGGCATTTTCATTACCATTTCCATTGCCATTCTGCAAATCCTGGTAGGCGGCATGGGCGTCCTCGGAGCCACTGCTACTCCCGCTGCTGGTGGACGAGGAGCCACTCGACGACTGGTTGCTATGACTGGTGGTATTCGAGACACAACTATCCATGCTGGCCGTTGAGTTGCGATTTCCATTCACATTCTCCCTAGTTTGATCCACCTTTGTGTCTAAATCCACATCCACCTGCTGGGGCACTATGATCAGGGAAGTACGCTTCCTGAGCGTATCATCCTTGGCATTCATGTTCTGCTTGAGCGTCTTATCCGATTTGGTGGTGTAGACGATGACCTCCACCTTCGACGAGTTGTCCGCACAGGAGGAAACCACTGCTCCTGGAACTGCTGCCGTTTCGTGCGACATCCTGCTGCAAAGTCGCTTCAATTTAGATACTGGATACTGAATCGAAATGGAAATGACTGGGGAAATGGAAAATTGATGCCACCAACACACTCATGCAACTCATAAATGAAGAAAACACCACACATGTGTCAATCTTTTTTATTGATTCCGACATTAAATACCCGAGGTGAAATGGCACATATCGCATATCGGATATCGCCACTCAAAACATGAATTTTAATACAACCCCCCCATGCTGTGGCTTTCAAAATGTTATTACTAATAAAAATGCCAAGACAAACACATTTGCAGTCTGCGGTAGTCTTATGTAACTGCAGTAAAAAAAGAAGAAAAAAAAAGGGCAACACCTGCCAACCGAATGGAAGTCGGAGACAAAGATTTACTGCCCAGCTTAGGGGCTGATAGGTTTGGACAATCAAAAGGGAGGATCTTCAAAATCCAAGATCCAAGAAAAAGACTTTCAAAATTAGAAAAGAAATACATAAATTAAACCAGCTAATA